ATTATGTTTTATGTAGAATATAAGACGAGATAATTATATTTTGTGAACGTATCATATTAAATTAAGCAACAAAAGTAATATATCGGTATAATATTTATCGCAATATGCGCATTATATGTAAAATGCAAATATTTTCCAATGGAAATATGTATTTGTACTTTACATGCGAATATATGCAATAGTCACAATAATATTCTATCCAAGTCCCATCGTTTTAGCAATTGTACTTTTAAATTCTTCCTTTTGGCAAAAGTACAAAATTGTGTATACAAAGCTGCGTGATTTCAAAATTTAAAGAATTTTCTTTGGCTACGTCTACAATCACGTGCAAAAGGTATTCGCAACATTTCATATAAAACAATAAGAATCTTATTTTAGACGGTACATGTGAGAATACGACCAAACCAATACGAACAAGAAATTAAATGCCTACACCGGTCAAAGCTATGGATTTTTAATGTTTAAATAATTCATATAAAAATATGAATAAAGTATTATATATTTTGTGATAATTTATTTTGAAAAGATAACTAACAAAGAAAACATTAATAAATGTAAAATTTTATGGTAAATTTATCTTTGCTAAAAAATATAATTACATGAGAGCAATGTTCAACAAATCCGGACTCACATTATATATTTCGAATACACTTAACTTTATAACATAAGTTATTACTGTTATCAGTGATGAATTAACGCATGGGCAAACAAGGTACTCGCGGCAATTTTTTAGACAGAAAATATTTACACAGTTGAAATAAATTTTTAATCTAATGTTTTTGCATGAGTTATATCGAGCATATTTTATCAAAAACGATATTTTAAATATACAGTTAAAATGTATTATATTTATAGATATTTGTTAAGGATTATTAAATGTTTTCACCAACCAATATCAGGATATAAACCTTTTTTTTATACATTTTCCCTTTTATCAAATTTATAAATTAATGAAGCTTGGAGGCGGCTAGATGTTAGTGCCTAGGGACGGCAAAATGTTTAATTCGTCACTGAATGTTATTATCCCCTCGTTGTGAAAATACGTCTGAGTTCATGTCTAGAACTAGTCATATCTAGCTTTACTTACTCATAAGTGTTCATTATTTTTTTTATGTAAGTATGAATAAATCAAGTTTATTACACACAAATTTGTATGATTAATTAATAATTCATTTTGTATATCCAAAGTAAATAATCATAGTTGTTTAGTAATAAATTTCCAATTCGTTTATCCAGAAAAAGAAGAGAGAAACTTATTCCACGAATCATCCTTGGGGATATTAAATTTATCTTCTACAACAGGTATGTCTCGATTGAATCTTGCTCCATTTAATCCGTGGTTTTTATTTTTCTTTTTATTTTTTTAAATTAACTTTGTATGTAAATATAAATTATTATATAAATTAATTATTTCAATAATATAAGTGAGTTGTCAATCCTTGAAAATTTGTATGGCAAATTTATTTATATATATCACGATAAGTATTAAAGTAAACTGCGACTCGCATAGATTCTCGCTTATGCATTATCGATTAATTTTACACGTTATTCATAGGTTCTCTCTTTTCCACTTTCGGAAGCTCAGGTGTTGAAGAATATCCTACGATTTTCGCGTAACTCGAAATTACTGGCGGCCGTCAACGGCAGCATCGGCGAATGACAAGAGCGAAGAGACAAGAGTGTTACGCGAGGAACCAAGAGATGGCTGGGAGTTGTGGCGTCGCGACGTTTAAGCCCAGCGCACCGGCGCGGCGTCCGGCGTCGACGGCAGTAGTTGCGTCGGCGTCGCCGTCGTCGTCGCGCGACGTCGCTCTCGTCATTGCCGGCTCGAGCACGGGGCTCGAAGACCATTGGTTGATCCGTAGGTAGGAGGGTGTCTGGTGGCTGTCAGCGACGGCAGCGGGGGCAAGGGTTGCAGTCGTGCCGGGCACGCGGGCGGGGGTAGGAGGGGTGCAACGAACCCTCTCGCCTCGGCTCGAGTCTACGGAGCACGGAGTTGTGTTCGAATCATGGCGACACCCGACCCCGTAGACCCAGCCACCCTAGAGATTAAGACCCGTAGCATAGAACAGACACTACTCCCACTAGTGAAACAGGTAAGATGTGTTTCCGCGTGATAATGCGGCAACCAGAGTTTTCGTTCGCACCGGCGGCGCGCCGTCTCTTTCCCATCTGTCTCTTTCTGCCTGCATCCCTCTCTTTCTCTCGCCCTCTCTGTCCCTCTCTCTCTCTCTCTCCTCCCCTCCTCTCTTCTCGCTCTCCATCACCGTAGACTATCCTTCTTTCTCTTTCGTCGCAAACTCCATCTGCCTCACGCTCATTCTCGGTCTTTATTCCTCTCGTATGACGCTTCGCGTATCCGGCACCCCCGCGTCTCATTACACCTCGTTACGTCTCGTATTCGATCCCTAACAGATTGAGATAATTTCTCAATCCTCGGAGTGACTCCCAAGTCATTCTATCTCGCTACTCCGATCACGCTTGCGAAAGCATATATGATTTATATACGCGATCCAATGCGCTCGTCGTAGAATCGAGCGAACGAACACTACGAGATGTTGAGTGCGTGCATACGGCGCAACGGCGCGGCGCGGCGCCCCGACGCGACGCGACGTGACGCGACGCGACGCGACGCGCCGGGGAGGTCGCAACGCACAGCGCCGCATGACGAAAAACGCAAGAGCAAGACATCGAAATGGATACGCGTACACCGTGATGCGAGAAAGATCGAGCAGTGAATCGGGTTAAAAAAGAGTGAGCTCGAGAAAACAATTTATAAAACGGTGATATATAAGACGTCTCGCGCTCCGCTGACGCCACTCTGAAACTAGAAATAGCGCGATTCCCACGCTTTTAGTCCGCGTGTTTGACATAGTAAAATTTTTGCGAATCATTTTTATCTTCAAATAAAGTAATCTTAAATCGCTAATAATTCCAACGGAACTATAGTAAGCGCATTCGAGACGTAAGAACGTCTTATTTCATGGAATTTGACAACTCTAAAGACAGAGACATGTGTCGAATACGTGCAACTTGTCACGAGGTGCGCACGGCGCATACAGAGTAACGGATATTTCGGTGGTCCACTATCTTTGTCATTTTCTTCTCCTCTCTTTCGCTCCCTCTTCCGCTACGTCCGTCTGTCTCGCATTTTCTGCACTTGTCTTTTTCTTCCGCGTTGCTCACTTCAGCTGTTGTGGCGCACGCTCACCTTACCGCTTGTCGACGCCGATACCGGCGTCTTCGTGGAATTACGTTGAATTTACGCTGCACCCTCGTTGCATAATCACCGGCACGTGCGCGATGCACGCACGCGAGCACCATATACACACAGATCTGCAGTTCACGGGTCAAAGGCCTTTAAATGACCGCCCGCGAAGAATAAATCGCTCTCCTCCATTTCTACGATGTCACGATTGAGGACATTTACGCGAAAAACGTATGCAACGTGCAAAGTTAAAAATTAGAAACGTCTACTTTGTGTTCTTCGAAGAAATTTCAGTTAATTAAAAACTAAAGTGAATTTACATTCGATGCTTTACATACGAATACTCTGTCTTTCGAAATATTTCGGATTATTTGTGCGCAAAATATAAATTGATACTTGTTTTGTATTACCTTCCAGTACATGGTCAAAATTTTCTCAATAAAACAACTATAAATGCACCGCATGCAGTAGATTGCACTTGCGTTCATAATTTATGCACATGTATATGTACATAATACACATGGTTCTAATGTAAGTCAAATATCGAAATCATGAACACGTTCAATTATGTGTACTTCTCTTCATGCACGCTATATCGAAAACTATTTCATCATCGCATATATCCAATAAAACTCGTTACAGCAAATTATTATTAAAATGATAATATATGCGAATTATCATTAACGCAATATACATACATATGTCATTGGCATGTTTAACTGAAATTAACTGCATCACCGAATGTCAAATTTCAATGATCATAATGTATTCTACAGAGAGACAAAAAGAAACTTTATCAATTTAAAAAATATATATATGTTTTATCTCTTAAAAAGATTTTAATTGTGCTTCAAAAGAAAACTCGAAATATCTTCAATCACTGTCTACTTCAACAACGAACTTATCTATATAACAATAAGTTCTCTCTTCGAAGAACTTGAAAAACCACAACCCAATCTACGATTAATCTCGTCAAATGAAAGCAATTTAATTTACGCTTTCGTTAAAACTAGCCGTAAAATCTAAAAAAGAGATTACGTCAACCGATTCTTGCTGTTGAGTGCGCGTCTCGCGTGCAAGAAATAATCCGATTGAGCTCGATCCTCTCAAAAAAGAATCATTATTCCGTTAGTATGAAATAAAATAAACAAAACAACAAGCAGATCGAATATATTCTTTTCCTTTTTTCGTTGTAATTAATTCAACAATAAATCACAAAAAAGATATCGCTATTAAGAAAAAGGTTAAAAAGAAACGGCGGATGATAGATGATAAAGAGTCGATAGTTCCGCAAACACATCGATCGAATCGGCTGACGCGGTAATTATCATCTATAAAATGAGAATGCGCAGTAGCAAGACTAGAACAAAAAGAACAGAAAGGAAATAGACGGAGGTTATTTCGAGAATGAAAGAGGGGTGCCGATCACCGCTCGTGGCCGACCTTCGTGTCGTGTTTATCGATATTTCTGGCGATGTAGCAGAGTATGCATACATGCACACAAGCCCAGAGTGTGTTTGTATGTGTTGGTACGTGTGTGTGTGTGTATGTGTGTTGGTTAAACTCCTCGGGTTAGAAGGGCGTGCAATACGAGTGGATTGGCTGGTGCATGGCACAGAGGGCGATCGTTACGAGCTGCAGCCACTTGTTAGAGCTCCGTCTAGCTGCCCCCGCGCATACTTATCTCCGTCGTCATTTCTTCTCTTCTGTATTTCGCCTCTTCTTATCACCTTTCTTCTACTTTTTCGCCCTTACTGCCATTTCGCTTTTAGCCTTCGTAGGGCTTTAAGCAGCTTTCTTCGTGATTTCCGTCACGATTTCGTTTCTATTGATTGTCACTACTATCTTGAATAAAAATCTGCGTATCTCACACATTTCGATCACGGTCTTCTGCATATGGAACGTTAATTGTAAATTGTTTTCGGATCGAGAAATAATTGTACTTTACTAACTATGCTCTGAATCTTCTAGAAAATGTTTGAAACTCAAGAGTTTAATAACTTTTGAGTTTAATAACTTTTGAGTAAAAATCGCCTCTTGATATTATTTTATCAAAATAAAATTTCTTAGAATCCGCGCGGAGATTACATTCTTTAAATTTATGTAAACTAATATATATAAATATGTAAAAGTTAAAAAAACTCTATTAAAAAAGAACAGTTTCGTTTATATTTCGTTAAAAGAATTTTTTAATAATCACTCAATTATCTTAACTGATACATATTAACAATTTTATGAATTTTTGTATAATAAAAGGCTTAATTAATTAATACAAGTAAAAGCAATTGTTATATCACACTAACAAGAATTATGAATATACAAGAATTATGAGTATGCGTACATATGCATATCACAAAATAGAGTAAAGATAATTTGATCACTATTACCATCACATGTTTCAAAGCAAAAAAAGAATCATTAGCTGTTGCCCAAAACACAAGCACAACTAAATCATATTTCAAACATCACGTGTAATAAGAGAATGCTGAAAACATTTATCTTGTATGCTAGCCAAAATTACCAATTTATATTCGTTTTATTTATATTCATTCGCGGATTCGCGTTTGTATTACTTATGAAATTGCCATCATTCTAACTTAGTTGCGCTACGAATGTCTTAGCCACGTTAGATATATCTAACGGAGATATACAATCATTACCAATCGAAATGATAATAGAATGGAGGACAAACCATCGTCCACGAAGACTTCCTCGAGAATGTCATTCTTGGACATTTTAATTAACTTCGACCTTCGATTTAATCTCAAACAGATCCTTACTAACACGTTACTGACTGCTAGCCGCGGACACAGAAAGCAATTACATAAATGCTATTTAATTCCTTCATTTTAAGGATTTTGTGCAAGTTTTGTGCAGCTTTCTTCGCGATTTCCGTCACGATTTCGTTTCGTCAGATTTTCTATTGACTGTCACTACTATCTTGAATATCTGCGTATCTCCTCACACATTTCGATCATTTCGTTATTGAATTTTTCAAATTTCTTTTTTGAGCTTGAATGATTGAAGACAAGACAATGAATAATTATTTAAAGTACTATTTGAACTAACATTTTGCGAAATTACGTGAGGTATAAGTTGTCGATTTCTCATAAAACGTTTTAGATAATCGTGACATCATTTTTTCTCTAATTGTACTCTGTATTATTGCGCGCGTGACCATAATCATTTAATAGCATCACTGAGTGCACATTAAAGCCGTTGTATACAAATCGACGTAAAGATAGTACATTGAATAAAAAATATAAATAGAAACAAATTACTGCGAAATTTTCAATACATTTTATTGTGGTATTTGATAAAATATACATTGTTATACACAAGTTAGTATACAACAACTTTAATATGCACTGAGTGCGCAGTTTTGCCGGCGAAAAACAAATAGAAATATAAGAAAGTCGAAAAAAATATTACAGCAAATTATTAAGGTCCGATTGCACCAATGTGCAATGTTACTTTGATTTTAAAGCTTAAAATTCTTTCTGTCTATCTTTTTTTTTTGGTTTTAAAACAGATGGAGTTTTAAATCTCACTTAAAATCAAAGTGACATTGGTGCAGACTGGGTCTAAATCTTGTAGGTTAGAAAAACTTTATATTAATCCTCATCGACAGAGGTCATTTGTGTCCAGGAGATTTTTATAATTCTGAATATTTTGAAAGCGAGTGAGTAGAACAGGCGCGCCTTTCTGCTAAAAAAAAACTTGGGATGGAGGAAGATACTCGAGAAAGCTGAGTAGTGGACATCATTTTCTCGCTGAGCAGCGGATATTCAAAATATTGAGCGAGGACACGAATGACCCCGTCATACATTCAACGCATATTTGTACAAAAAAGAAAATTTTTTTTCGTATTTCTTGACTATTTTTATA